TGGGGAAATTGCATTTTTAGATAAGAACTGCAAAAAAATGGCCATTGGCCTATCTATCTATCTATCTATCTATCTATCTATCTATCTATCTATCTATCTATCTATCTATCTATCTATCTATCTATCTATCTAATTAATTAATTAATTAATTAATTAATTAATTTCTATGCCACCTTTCTCCTGGTGAGACTTTGTGCTTAGTATATGTCAAATACATATTACAGGGGTGCACTATTCCTTTTTTAAAAAATTCAAGAATTCTCCAATAATTCTTCAGAGAAGAGTTGTTGTTTAGTCGTTTAGTCGTGTTCTGACTCTTCATGACCCCATGGACCAGAGCATGCCAGGCCCTCCTGTCTTCCACTGCCTCCCAGAGTTGGGTCAAATTCATGTTGGTAGCTTCCATGACACTGTCCAACCATCTCATCCTCTGTCGTCCCCTTCTCCTCTTGCCTTCACACTTTCCCAACATCAGGGTCTTTTCCAGGGAGTCTTCTCTTCTCATCAGATGGCCAAAGTATTGGAGCAGGTACGCAGACAATAGTACCTGCCCACAAACACATTTCATTCAGTTGGAACAGAGGCCTATTTTCCAGGCTGTTTCAGGCCTACTTCCTGTACAAAAAGGAAATTACTCTGTTGGTTCCTGGGAGGCCTAGGTTTTTATGGGAGGTGTAACCGTGCTGCCTATTAAGCAGTATACAGGGCACCCCAAAGAACTATATCTATCACAATGAGCTAACTTCTCCAATCTCTGGTTAATTTGAAGCTCTTAAAAAGTTTCTCTACCCATTATGTTGAGGGACCCATGCATGGGATTGGAAACCTTGGAAAGGAAAGATGTCATCCAGAGAGGACACATGTATGTAGGATCTTTTCTGACTCAGGATGGGGAATGTGTGGTCCTCTAGATATTATTCAGCTGCAACTCCCATTATCCTTGTTCACTGGCTATGCTGGTTAGGCTAATGGGAGCTTAACTCCAACAACATGTAACAGTCCATACGTTTGCTACACGCCTGCTTCAGGTCATTAGAGCAATGTATAATACACACAGAACAAATTGCTGGAATATATGAAAAGTGCTGTTGTGTCTCATAGAGGAAAAAATGTACACTAAGGGCAACATTCAGCCGATTTTAAGCCAGTTTTAATCCCATGGGGTCAGAAGCTGTAGACTGTAGAAGATGATCATGTGAGACTTATGTGGAAAAATCTTAAATGAGTCAGTCATTAGTAGTGGCTTAGTTTAAATTGTTAAATAAGACACTGGGAAGTATAGTCTACTACACAATTAGAATAATTTGATACCACTTTAACTGTCATGAAGTTATTCTAAAGAATATTAGGATCTGCTTTTTCCTGAAGTATTTGGAATTCAATTGGCTGTTTCTAAAATGTATTCTTATTTAATAAAAAAAACAAAGCAGAGATAAAATACTTTTCTTGCTACTACAAGTGGTTAACAATACTGTACTATATTCTGTTAGCAAGAGCCCAATCTTTTCACTTAAAAGTGATATGGGTGAGGAAGTTGCCAGAGGTGGAACTTTTTCCTCCTGGATGAGGTCATGTGCTTGGATTTGGCTAGCTTACAGTAACATGGAGTTCTGCCACTCTGTTTCCTCATGTCCTCATGCTCTGAATACACTTCTGTAATCCTCTCCCCACCCCCTTTCTTCCATGTTCTTGGAATACCATTTACACAGGTGTCCCTAAGATCTTAAAAGGTCTCCAGAATGCATTTCCTAGAGGAAAGACACACATTTTCTGCAATATTGGTTAGGCAGGTTATGTCTTTCTATGTGATTGTTTGCAAGGACATATGTATAGGAGTGGGAGTTCTGACTTTTTACTGGCTTTGACTTGTTTTGCAGCTCTTCAGCACTATGTATTATCATAAACTACAATTGAAATGCACTTGTCTTTCAGAAATGGCTTACTCTTGAGTGGGAGGCAGGGAGCCTTAATGAAACTTCTCTAAGCGAAACCAAAAAAAGCAAAGTATGCTGCTTATATACCACCCCACAGCATTTAAAGCAATTTACAAGTGAATTATGTTATGAATTAAACATTGTCCCTCCCCCACCATGAGCTGGGTACTCATTTTACCAATTTCGAAAGGACAGAAAGCTGAGTCAACCTTGAGCCGGCTACCTGGGATTGAACCCTGGGTTGTGAGCACAGTTTTGGTTGCAGTGCAGCAGTTTAACCACTGTGCCATGAGGCTCCTTAAGCATACAGTATTAGTCATATTGTAGGATGAAACAGTTGGACGTATCATCTGTTTAAGTGAAAACGCAGTGAGAAAGAGGAAAGGAATATGGATGTTGAGGCATACATATTGAGCATCTGTTTAAGTGCTCTCATAAAGACATAGAAAGAGGCATAAGAAAATGGCTGGGAGGAGGCACAGTACAAGAGTACAATCCAGACCAACCACTTATTCTTAGTTTAAACCAAAGAAGATAGGATCACATGACTTCCATGTGCACTGAAACATATCTGGCCATGTCTCTTGCAGGACCGAGAACTGCAATGTGTTGTACTGGACTCAGGAAGTTGAAATATTGTGATGTTTGAATAGCAGGAATGATGACAGCATTTGCCATTCCCTCATTATTTCATGACCTTCTCCATGAGATTTACTTCAATCTTCCCAACAGCTGGATAGAAAACATTCTTGCCTTGTTATGAGCTATCTCAATGATAATGCTAAATGTTTTGGAGTGGACTGGCAATTATGACCAATTCACTTTAGAAAAGACCTATTCTTAGAGATAAAAACCACTACAACTGTTTGTTAATATGGATTATGATAAGTGTTTGCACTTTTGGACTTCTTGAGAGTACAGCTATAGGGACTCAAATGATGAGTGCATGCAGTTCAAAATCTACCACTACATCACTGTAATCACATGAGTGACAGGCACATGGTACTGAGGATTTTATCACACGTAAGTTTGCATGAACAATTTCTGTTGCTAGACTTGGCCTTGCATTCTTAACTTCAGTATCATGCTTGTCACTGTTATTTTGGACAGCTTCCATTATCTGATGCAGACCCATCCACGTTAAAAACAAAGCAAAAAGACTGCTACATATGTGTTCCAGAGTAGATAGCACTAGGGGAATTTCCTAGGAAGTACAGCTGTAAACACTGACAGAGGCAGGGGTGTGGTGTTGAATATATCACTTCCTGATGCTATCAACTGTGGATTAAACAACCCTTGGTCTGGACTCACCAAACTATTTGAATGTGTGAATGGAGATAACTATTAGATAGGGATACTGATCATAAAGAAAAGATTAAATGCAACATATGCTCTGCGAAATAAGGATCTACATTTTTACTTGTCTCATCACAAGAAAAAGGAATTAGAACAATCTCCTGACCAGTGACAATAGCAAGGAATTTTTAACAAATGCAGGAGTCGGTGATACGTTTAATTGACCATTAAGAATATAATTAAGGTGTATTACCTACTCCTGCATTTGTATTGTTTCCACAACTGTGCAGCCTTGTCCTGATTTTTCCTCAACTGTAAGGAATTTTCTGACACCCTTAGCAAAGCTCTCACATTGGTTCGAATGATGTTTTGTGCAATAAATGCCAAATGGCCTATTTTTGAGAAATTGTAGAATTTACACAATTGCACAAACTCTGTGCATTGCTGAAAGCTAGGGTGGCTGCTTCTTTACTTTAGAATTGGAAGCAAGTACTAGATGCGGTTCTCACATTTTTCTTAACAAGAGGCTGTGGAGGTGCTTTTCAAAAAGGAAAACACACTAATGACATTTTATCCAAAGCATACAGAAGGAAAAACCCTAAGAAATTTAGTGACTGTTGTTTCTACTGCAAAGCAAAATGAAGTTGGGGATGGAGCAGAGGCTCTCCATTTCACAGGTTCTTCCAGGATTGAAAGTAACAATGCAAGAGAGTCAGTGAGTCTTATGTTTATGGAGCACTGTGGACATAGTTCTATGATGGAAACATCAGGCATGGAGAGTACGTGTTAATTTATGTGTTAACTTGATTCACTGAATTCACCCGGTCCTCACATTACTTCAACACATCAGCAAACCCAACTAGCCAACTGCCTCCAATATCATCCTCTTTCCAAAGTGCCGGAATTGTGAGGATTTGTTTAGAGTTCTTTGACAGTGCTGACACCTAGTGTCTACCTGATGCAATAATATGAGACAAAAAGAAGGAGGAACTAGATTAATAGCAAAAAGAGAGTAGTATTATTCTCTTTGTAGAATTAAGGATAAAAATTAGTCTTCTTGGATGCACACAAGTCTCTGGCATGAGTAAAATGTGTGCTAAATACATTTCTATAAATAATTAAGGTAGGTGTGTTATATGTTCCTAGAATGTAGCACGGAAGATTATGACCGGTTTTGAAAAACGAATCCATTGAAATATGTACAACTGGAGCTTTGAAAAACGATCAGAAAAATTAACAAATAAGCAAACAAAATACACATGTAGTTTTTGAAAGGGGCCAGTTTGCAATTGCAAATGAAAGGCAATTTTTCAAATGCAAAACCCCTTTCTTGGGAGCGATTACTTTTGTTTTAAAAATAAGGGAAAGAAGAACTTTCAGGTCTGGGTCTATTAAGAAACTGCACTTCAGTTCCCACTACAAGCTGTCAGGTTTATGACAACAACTTGATTTTACATCTCACACATACCTGTTTTATAGGTGAGGTGGTATATTCTTCCCTAATTTCCTGCTGTTATCTCTAATTTTGGCAAAAAGATTTATTTTTATTTCTACACTTTACCTTTTTGATGTTGTTTTAAATACTCTTCAATACTATGAACTTCACTGAGCTTTTGGAGAGGTAGAATGCAAATATTTTCAATAAATAAAAAAAAATATTTTGAGTAAATAAATTATGTGATCCTGAAGCATTAGTATTCTTGTTAAAAAAAAACCCAAAACAAAACATTGAAGGTACTTCTACCAAGCCAGCAAAGTATAGATGCTTACCAATCTGTGTGTGGATCATCAATAACCAAGAGGATCTGGGGTTTCTGCTGGGCTACAGGAGTAAGACTTGCTGAGTGTTCCATCAATCCTGCAGCTGCTTGTGTTGTCTGCTTCATGGCACTGGAGATGGAACTGAAGATGCTGGTACCAGAAGAAAGGGGAGCAGGTTGCTGTATATGCTGCTGCCTCCTCTCTGTTGCTGGGGAAACTGGGTTGCTGGTGGAATTATCTGGACGCTGAAGGTCCATCATGTAACCATTTGGCAAGTTGGCCACAAAACTACTGTCTGAAAGGCGCCTTCGAAGGAAATTCATGGTGATCACTTTTCCAAAATAAGAACAAATAATACAGTGCAAAAGAGTCTAAAGAGTCTATTTGAACTCTTGATGGTTAGCTGGAAGAAATTTATTTATTTTATTTGTTTATTGGATTTCTGAAATGTTCTGCCACCTTCAGTTGTATTGCATGGAGGACACTTGTTCTATTCATGTATTCTTGCCTGTGAAATGCAGTAAGAGACAATACACCAATGAATTAATAGGCTTTTGAAAAGAAACCTAAACAATTAGAATAGCTATTAGATAGTTTGACATTTGAAGAAGGAAATATGCATTGACTTAAATGAATGATGTGACCCTCACTGTTTTCTTCAGAGCAAGGGTGGAGAAACTTTATTGAAGAATATGTTCTTGGGATTCAGATCCCATCAAATCCATCTAGTAAGACCAATGTATAGGCATGATAAGAGTTGTAATCCAAAAACACATGGCGGGCCACTCTCTGAGTTTGGAAATGTTACCTTCTGGCTGATGATTCTTAGGCCAATATCCTGTTGCACACCTCTTTCTGTACAATGAGAATGATGTCAACATCAGAAGCAGATTGCCATTAATTAAAGGCTTCCTTTTTTCAACTTCAGGATCACGCGACTGCTTCTTACTGTCTTTGGGTTACATTCATCCCAAACGGAAAATAGAACTCTTTATTTAGCAACCATTTGCTGGTGACAATAATGTCATTCCTACTGCACAGGTGGAACTGTGCAACAGAATACAGTACTAGCCCTAGAATTCTTTAGCAAGCATAGATTCTGGCAATTCTCTCTCCTTCCTTTTCAGGCCAAGATCCTGGAAATAAAAAGCATAGATTCTGGCAATTCTCTCTCCTTTTCAGGCCAAGATCCTGGAAATAACCTTGTACTTTTACCAGATACAGAAAATGTCATTAGATGTGGTTTTTTCCAATCCAGTAATGTAGTGGTGGGAGAAGAAGAATGTTTCCTTCTGTAAGAACAAAGCACTTAAAAATGTTTCTCTCAGAGTGTAGCTCTAACAGCCCCACCAGATCTATACATTGAAGCCAAATCTTCCACCATACAAAGCATTCCTGTCTATTCACTTTCCTCTTGATATAACAAGTTGTAGCTGCTCCTGTTTCAAGGCCCAACATAATATTTTGTCTTTACCACATATCACCTTCTGAAGTCCCTGTTTTTCAACTCATATTCTTTTAATCTAGGGGAATGTGTTGTTGAACTCCAGGAATTATTGATCTATAACTCCCACAATATCTGTGTCTAAGCTTTTTGGTGCTGACGGGAGTAGAGCAACATGTGGAGGACCACAGTTCTTCACCTGTTTTTTAGCTGACCTCAGCCAGCCAGTAATTGCCCCATCCTTGAACCAACAATATACTTGCACTACCAATTTCCTTCCCCAGGTCAGTTCTATCATATAGTCCAACAAAGCATTTTGTATCATAAATACTTCGGACCACAGCACAGTCAAGTAAGATGTTTGATAATGGCTCAGTTAACTTCTACAGTTCAGTTCCACCTTGAATGCAAAAGCTAGACACTGAGGAGTCCCTTGGTGGACCAATGTGTGCAAGACTAGTGCTGAGTTTGTACCTTCAGGCCTGTTGCATTTCTACAAGATCTTGATAGTTTATTGTCCAGACTAAGATGTTTCAGTACAAATCAAAAGCTAAATGATTTACACAGGTATTCACATCCTTTAAATTAGAGAGGGCTGTCAGTCTTTAAATTGTACATCATGGCCCTGTGCTAGAAAAAGAAACACACTGAATATTAAAACTTTGATTTATAATTTTGAATCTGACAATGCTATTCTTTCTAACAATAGGAACAACTGCCAAGCTCCTCTTCTGACAACAGCAAAACCATATCACCATAAGTCAGTGAGTTCCAAAGTTCCTTTGTGATGTTTGCTTATCACGAAAGCCAGAGGCAGCTCAGCTAAATTCTGCATGATGAGGAAATAAATCCAGTGCTAATCCTTTGAAATTACAGAATCCACCTCCATCTTCAAAGTCCACGTAAGTGACATTTATTCTATATTTCTCTACGATAAATGTCTATCACGTGAAAACCTGCCCTTGCACATTTTTGACAAAAACAGCTCTGCCATCTAAGACTAAATTCCCATATATATGCTGTAAGGCATCTCCTTTATATTAAACATACCAATGAAGGTAGGAGAAATTGATGCAAATCAGAAGGGTACATCCATATATAGAGGCACTCACATCCATATAGTGATATATAGTTCTATTTATATGTATACATATACAGTATACATATACATATACACACATATGTATACATATATACATATACATATACACAGACTTGTGTGTGTGTGTTTGTGTGTTTGTGTGCATATGTGCGCATATTTGTTATGTGCCATCAAGTCAGAACTGACTTATAGTACCCTAAAAATGATTTCAACAAATAATAAGTAAACAGTATCTCAATATTTTTCTGGATCCTTTTGAGGATACACTTAATCAGTAAAATATACAGTATATATGTACATTTTGAAGAGTGACTAGCAAACAGAAGTGTTTAAGTAAAATATTCCAGCTTTTGCCTTCTTTAGTTGCTCTGGTAAGTGTATACTTTTTCCGTCGCCCCCATACACATATACGAGAACTCTGTAGAAATATTAAATGCCATTAAAAGGACCTGACATCTGACATTCTGAAAACAAAACACAGGAACAACCAAGAATATTATATTCTTGCAAACTCACATTTTTCCTCCTTTCAACTCCAGTTCTTAGGTTTGATGACACACAATATAATCTAGAATCGTCTTGCAAATATCTAGTCTTCCACAAAATTTTACTTCATAATCATAGGAGTCTGTGTACTGTTATGATTGGCATTAATAGAACAGGGTGATCCACTGAAGAGAGGGATTTGGCTTTGAAGAGCAGTGATCTGAATAAAAACCAAGAACTGGATGTATTTAATGCACAGAGCCTAGCAAGATGAATTAAGGGTAAACTCAGATATAAAATGCCTGTGGGAATGGTTGGCAAGCAACTTGCTGGTTCTTTGACAAGAAAGAAAAACGCCGCCCCAGTCTTAGTTTGCTGCTCCTATCTGATGGATGCAAAAACATGACTCTTCGCACATCATCCTAAGGTTCTCTATAGTGTGTTTTCATAGCTGTCACAACAGATTCATTTTATTTAAAAAAAGACAGGGTTAAACTGAGCTGTTTTCTTGTTATTGAGCTAAAATAGATTCCTCCACAAAAGGCACTCCATATACAATATGTATTACCAATAAGACAGGGCAATGGAGATATGTTTGAATAATAATAATGCTTTTTGAAACACTGTTTTAGAGTATCTGGGTAAATTATTATGATACTTAAAGCCTAACAAATGTATTTCAGTGTGAACTTTGAAGCAAAATCCACTTCTTAAAACACAAATGGAGTCCAAATAGTATCTCCTCTATATATCTCCAAAGGGGACATGGTGGCGCTGTGGGTTAAACCGCAGAAGCCTCTGTGCTTCAAGCCCAGAAGACCTGCAGTCGTAAGATCGAATTTGCGCAACGGAGTGAGCTTCCGTCGCTTGTCCCAGCTCCTGCCAACCTAGCAATTTGAAAGCATATAAAAATATGAGTAGAGAAATAGGTACCACCACGGTGGGAAGGGAACGGCATTCCGTGTCTAGTCGCACTGGCCATGTGACCACGGAAACTGTCTACGGACAAACACTGGCTCTATGGCTTGGAAACGGGGATCAGCACCGCCCCCTAGAGTCAGACACGAATGGACTAAATGTCAAGGGGAACCTTTACCTTTACTTATCTCCATGATAGTAGTAGTCATCATGACCAGTTGAGAATACAGGCAATAAAGAAAGTTACAACGCATGATAAACATGCAGGATGCTACACTGCATCTCTTTTAGTACTTTCATAGTGAAAGAAAAAGCAAGTACAATTAAAAATCTGAAATGCTTCTTTAGGTACTCAGAAGAGATTGGACATGTCGGTGAAATGTGGGCTTTTTGTTTTTCTTGGAAGGACAAATGGCAGATCTCCAAGCTGTATCAGATACTGCTTGCAAAAGTCACTGTTTCCAAAGTGGTTTGCCTGGTGACGTTGATGACACTTCTAATAAATTCCTGCCCCCAAACCTTTATCCTTGGATTTACATAACCATGTATACCGTTTGGATGCTGTGGCCAATGATGATATCTCTGTTAAACCAAGTAGCAAAGATAGAAAGTAAACTAGAAGTAAATCTGTCATCAAGAAAATGCAGCTATCTCCCTCCCATCACTATCACAGTGATGTCAACACAAGGTTTTAGTCGATTAAAAAAAAACCCCGTTATTGCAGCAGAGGAAGATTGGCAGCTTGCAATTAAAAACCAGAGTGGGCTCTGTACCTCATACAAATTAGGTGGAGCCATGTAATTCTCTCATCTGCACTATAAAGCTGAGGAAAAAGAGGAGTTTTCTGAAAGCACTGAATACTATAGACATCTGTTTTTAAATGGTATGATTCATGCAAGTATTACGCATGAATGCATTCGCTTACAGTATATTCTATAAGGTGTACATTGATTACGTACAGGTTTCTGCCACAAAAGTATTAAAAATTGCCACTATATGTTTGTAGAGGAGATAAAGAGGGAGGGAGAGAGAAGGCAATTTAGGAAAGTAAACAAAGAGGGGCAAAGAAGGGGGAAATTAAAAGTAAGGAAAAGAATAGAGCAAATATAGTACATATATTGGTGACACGTGAGTTTAAGATAGAATGTCATTGCCTGAGTCAACACATCAGTTTCCTTCACAGTTTGTCAAAGAAATGGCGGTAAAGTGGACTGGGTTAAGAAGACCACAGAACTGACCCACATACTGTTAGCTGTATATCAATGTCTTCACCATTCAAACAAATCAACTAATGATTCTATCTACTTTTTGTATTATTCTTTTGCACAAGTTAGCATAATGGAAAGATTTATGTCTCAGGTAATCTGACATAAGCATCTGTGGGGAGTAGTCACCTCTGAGACTCTTTTTAATGAACTAAGAAACCTCTCTCTCTCTTCTTTAAGTCACAACATGATGGAGGATTTTCATAGCAGGGAAGAGGGAGTTGGATACAGTGTCTAGTAGTCTATAGGCCTGACTTACTTACATATTTGATATTACACCTTTGCCCTCCAAC